GGTTGGTCTCTTCTCCCAGGCAGCTGTCAGCAAGACGAGAGGGCGTGGTCTTAAGCTGTGCCAGGGGAGGTTTAGGTTAGATATTAGGAAGAAATTCTTTACAGAGGGTAATCAGGCATTGGAATGGGCTGCCCAGAGAAGTGGTGGATTCTCCGTCCCTGGAGGTCTTTAAGATGAAACTGGATGTGGCACTTAGTGCCATGGTGGTGGTAGTGGATCAAGGGTTGGACTTGATGATCTCAGAGGTCCCTTCCAACTCGGCTGATTCTGTGATTTCAACAAAAATAGTTTATGTAGTTTTTGGAACTGCAAATCTTGAACATGAAGGTTAAACGTTTTAAAACTTACAGGAAAGAAAGCTAATAAAAGATGCTGTAGGTCAGAGAAGGATGGTAGTAGCTTATTCAAGGTTTTGGTCCTTACTGGAAAAAAATATTGTTATTTTGAACCAATTACTTTGATTCCAGGCTAGAGAAACACAGTTTATCTGTGACTGTAATCCTATAAACACTTATAAAAATCCTGCTGTCTGAGGTAAATAGTATAATTTGTTTAGTTTAGAGAAATTGTTACAAAAACTTTGAGAGAAATAGAGCCAGGATGTTTCTGAATAAAGTAGTCAAGTTGCTGAGGATATTTGCCATAGACCCATCCAGAGGGGGATGGTGATTTCTAGGTATTGGTATATACCAAAAGGCTTCTTCATGGCTGGGCTGCACAGAGTAGTTTCCCCACAATGCATCCAGAATTCAAAGAAACAAAACCTCAGAATACTGTGTTATATGTGAGCAATTCTTATTTCATGAAGCGTTCCAAGAACTGATCATATCAATCTTAGTGTGACTACAGTACACATGGCTAAAATGCAGCCCCTAGTGTCATGTAGGCCAAGGCCATCCTCATCTACAACACATACCCCAGGGAGTGCAAGCACTAAGTTACAGGGCAGCCCTTGATCAGCTCTGTGGGCTTTGACCTGAACTTATTTTTCATATGTTACAGCTAATCCTCTTGTCAAAGTAGTTGATATCATGCAAATTAAACGCCAGCTCTCTAGCTATAGTTTTGCTTAGGTCATGGGGATTCAAAATGCAAACATCAAGGCATTAGGAACTGGTAGGAAAAAAGGTTTTAAATTCTGCTGTCATCCTTTCTCATCTCTTCTCAGTGGTTCAATTTTATTTCAGTTTCTAGTTTGTTTGCTTTTTGCTGCAGCTTTTGTTTGTGCTTCAGATAGATGTTTTCCACTATGGCCTTCCTGCTTTAGTAATGGTGCTCTTTTTCTCCTGTTCTCCCCTGTGTCCCTAGCTTTTTGTCAGAAGTAAGTTTATGGAGCAAAAGTCTTGTTTCTTTTTCATGACTTCTGTGTGGTCAGACTTTCTTCACACTGGCATTTTAGCTTATACCTGGTGTCTATGTTTCCATCCTCAAAGGGGAGATCTAGGAATGTCCTGTTTTAAGTGTTGGACCCTTCTGAAACCTGTATAAAGGTTTCACAAGCCTGTATCTGAAGACAGTATCCTCGCATGATTCTAAAATTAATGAAAAACTAGTTTTTCTATTCTTCCTGAGAAGATGGAGTGTAATTTTGCAGGATAATTTATTTGCTGTTTATTTTCGTGATCGCAGATGCCCGTTCCTGTAGCCGTCATTTTGTTTACTGACTTTCTGCACTGGTCCTGCAGGCCATTTTCTGCCTCCTGGTGGTTCTGGCTGAGTCTGACTGGCGTGAACCTTGCTGGAGCTATGGGGGTAAAGTTTGTTGGCCTTTTTGTAGTCCTCTTGGTAGGCCTGAACACAATCTATGACCTATGGGACTTGCTGGGGAACCTTAGTCTGTCACTGGTGAGTTTCAAAGGCTTTTCTTTACTTTAAGTGTTTCTTTGTTTTGTTTGCTTTGTAATTCTCCCAGTCTTTGACAAGGCTGTAGCTACTCAGACAGTGATACTCTGTGCAGCAAAAAGGGGCTTCTGATGTGGATGATGATAAATAAAGATTAAGGTTATAATGAAAAAACTATTGACAGACTTCTGGAAAACAAACAAACAAACTAACTTACATTAGCAGGATGTAGTGTCATAAAAGCACAGCAAAAAGAATGTTCCTTTTTCCTTAGAGAAACTGTTACCTTTCCAGTTGGATGATTTTTCAGTCTAAGCTAAAAATGCTCATTGGGAATGGCTTTAAAATGGCCCAAAGCAAGATGTTGTCCAGCACTGTTACATGAGCTTCTGAGGAGTGTGTGCTACCTGGCAGACAGGCATGTCTTGCAGCACTTGGTTTGCATAAGCAGCGTGAGCTCAGGCTCTGCTTTGTGAGAGTTAAGGGTGGATAGGCCTCAGAGCAGGAGCATGCTATCCCATCAGGAGTCATAGAAATGCTCTGCAACTTACAATATCCATAGCCAGTCCAGAGGATGAAGGCAGCCATACCCTCCTTGATTTCACATATATTTAGTTCCTAGAAGCTTTAAAAATTTGCTAGTGAGTTTGAGCACCCTGTCCTAATATATTGTATTTTACGTTTGCGGACTGTGAAATCTGCTTTTTTGGAGAAACACCTTGATGTACCATTTGCTGTCTTGCAACCAGCAGGAAAACAAATTCTTCAGTCACGTCTTTTAAAAGGTGTTCAGTTCTCCTCTTGTCTCAGCCTCTTCTGAAGCTTGAAAATTCTTCTTTTTTCACTTACTGTTTTTTTCTTGTTTGTCTCATACAGTGAGGGTTTTGAGGGACTTTTTCTATTCCCGCTGTGTGATTTGTTTTTCTTTGATTAATGTGAATCAATATGGGCTGCAAAGATGCAATGTTCCAACTCTGGAGAAGCACTTCTTGAGCAAAGTCACTTAATTGCATTTGAAACGGCACAAATCCATCATGTCTATGCTTTCTGCCAGCAGACGGCTGCACAGTGATTTCATTTGTGTTGCTGGAAGCAAAGGCAGCAAACCCCTGAGTGTTACACTATATAAAGAAATTTACTCCAAAAGGTAGATGCTTTCTGAATAGCTATTTGTCAACCTTGGTGCTTGATGAGAGAGGAAAAAAAAAGTGAGGATTAAACTCCTGAAAGGCTGAATAACTTAATCTCTGTATTTGTTAGGAAGCTACTCATGATTATGTACAAGCAATGTTTTTGGGACTAATTTGATTTCTAGAATTCTCAACTTATCTTAGTCTACTCTTCTGGTTTGCTCAATGCTGTCTTTCACGTGCATTTTCTTTTTGACTTTGCATTGAAGTCTATAGTTAAAAAAACTACAGACTTAAGTGCAAAGTCAAAAAAGAAAAATGTGATGTCAGAAAATTTTCATGAAGATTGAAGCATATTGAGACTGTTTTAAGCAGGCAATTGCAGATTAGTTCATGTGCCTCTCCAGTGCATAAACATGGCTAAGTACCATCAGTCAGCATTTTTGGAAGCGTCCAGTGGTTATTAAGTGTTCTGCTGGAGTACATGAGCTTAACAACTCTTTCCTTTGTTGACTTCAGTGAGTTCTTAGTTTTGTAATATGTTTAGTTCCTTTTCCATTACTTCTGAATTTGTTGGATCTGGTATTGAGGGATGGAGAATGAATAGCTTAATGATTGATTGTGTGATAGCTATCATGTAAAAAAATATGGAGAATAGCAAGTACATCTGCTTTCATCCACTTTGAAGTTAGTGTGGACATTTAGCAAGCAATTTTTGCTGTTTTACTTGCTTTTTCTTCCGCAACTATTTATTACCCACCCTGTGTTTTACATTATTTACTCTACTACCGGTAGTGTTAGTGGGATGTGAATCAATAATGCTTGGGCATCTGTGTAAAAAACATCTTTTTAAGTGATTAAAATAAAATACTCTGCTTTTGTGTTGAGATAGCTGAAACAGATTTTGCTGATGACTTTTCTGTAGCTTCTGGCTAAGCAGCAACAGAAGTTGCAGTGTGAGAACATCCTTGCTAAGCAAGGTGATTTCTGTGACTGAAGCATATCTAAGTCCCCAAGAAGTCCTGGTTACATTCACATTTGCATAGAGAAACTTTCTTGGAGAACAGGTTTTCATTTTCCCTTTTGCTTAGCTTTGACAGTTACTATTTTGGAAGCCATCTCTTTCCTGTGATTTTGTGTCAAGATGTGTACCACTGATAAACAAGTTAAGGTCCTTGTTTTCAAAGTATTTTCAATGAGAGCTGCCTAACCTCATTTGCCAAAGTTAGGGATGCTCAGCACTTTGCAACGTTAAACTCTCCTATTGCCTGTTTTTGTCTTTTTTCTCAAGACCCTGAAATTTCAAGGTACCATAAGTCCAGCTTTGGGAGATACATTGCCAGGTCTGCCTCAGCTTTTACTTCTCTCTAGGCCTTGTTGAGGTAATTCTGCAACCTCCTGAGCTTGCTTGCATGTCAAGCTCCAGCTTTAGGACCACTACTCAGAGTCCTGTGAAGTAAGGAGAGGAATTGTTCCTGCGGCTGCACTGTTTGATCCAAGTTGTGTTTGTTACAGGTGATGTTTGGAAAACATTTAATGGCTCGTGTACTTTGCCTCATCGTGCTCCCACTTGCTCTCTACACGGCTATGTTTGCTGTTCATTTTGCAGTATTAAATAAAAGGTATTTCACAATGTTTTCTGCAGAAGAAGAGTCACTTGTTTTTGCTTTTGATTAAAGGCTACTGATTATGTATTTCTCCACTTTCAGTGTCAGAAGCATGGCCACAAGCTGTGTCTTTGTTTAATTTCCTTCCCAGACTTCTGCATTGTTCTTACAGAAAGGCTCTGGCCAAGCTGGCAGTGAAACTGAATTTTAATTTGACACTTTCTGAAATGCCAAGCTAGTAACCTAACCAAACTCTCTGTCTTCTTTTTTTTTTCCCCTTCTCTTTCCTGGACCTGAAAATGTCTCAACTTCATTCTTTGTCACTTTGTAATTAAAAAAAAAGTCATTGCATTCCTGAAAAATGCTTTGGCTGTGATGACAAAAGTAAGGCTGAGTGTGCCCAAAGGGAAGGCTCTTCTCTGAGTGCCTGCAACCAAGGGATGCTTTTTATATGTAAAGAGCACAACAGCTAGTAAAATGGCCAAGTAATGTTTTCCATATGCCAGCATTAAGAAATGAGGTGAATATGCATTTCACTATAAAAAAATAATTTAAAATTAAATCTGTTATTTTTCAGTTAAAGTCAACTGATCTTACCATTAACCTCTTAGCAGAAACAAGACTAAAAGAGCTACAGAGAGAGGCTTTGTTATATGTATCCTGACAGTTGGTCAGTTTATTTGTTGTAAGAACACTCAAAGATCTGTGTGGTGCTTTTATGCAGTGCCAGCAGCTACATTTTTGTGACCTCAAGTCCTTGCAGCTCTGGACAATTTCCTGCAAGACTATCTCTCTGCTATGATTCACAACATTAGAGGTGCATCTAAAGGAACTGCATTCATTCTTCTTCTGATGTCCTGTCTGCTTTTGTTGTTTTTCCTCTGTAAAAACAATTTGGTAATGCATGACAGAGATTTGTGTGCTTGTTTATCTGCATTCTGAATTGTCACATTCTTTGCTGTCTTTTGTAGTGGCCCTGGGGATGGTTTCTTCAGTTCAGCATTTCAGTCCCAGCTGATCGGGAACAATCTTCATAATGTCTCCATTCCAGAGCGTGAGTGTCCAAACAAATAAACCAGTCTGAGTGTTGTCAGTATACATGGGGGTTTAAATAAAATGGCATCTCCTGTGACTCAGTGCAGGAGAGTGCAGATTATGCCTTCATGGTTGTGCTTAGATCTATGCTGTTCCTCTGGGCAGTTTTACGTATTGCCAGAAAAGAAGGTGGCTGTGTTCAGTGCATGGTCACTAGCTGTTTCATCATATTCCTTCAAGAGGGAAAGATGACATTTTGAGGGATTTGACTGTTTTGTGTGCATGCATCTTGTTATTTTTTGGCCTTAATATTGCTTGAGACAACAAAAATATATTTGTCCTATTCACCATAAGTTTGTAAGGTATTCAGATGTGGGATTTGTTTTCAAAACATGTGTAAATCAAAACTATTGGGTTCTTTGTGACCCAGTGTGCCCCTGGTCCGGTTGTGTTCTATTCAGCATGTATGTGAATTTATGGGAAAGATGGCTCTGTGATTGTGCCCTAATCCTCATCTTGCCTAGGGACTACTGAGCCTTTAATCTGGTTTAACTGTTTGACACTTCATCTTTTCTCTGGCTGTTCCCTGCTCCAGAACTGCTACTGGAAGAGCATCAGGTCCATTCTCCAAGACAGAGTTCTCTCACTTGTGTTGGGAGGCTATGAAGGAAGGTGTCTTAAGCCAGGGTATCAGCTCTGCTATCTGATAGCTCAGCTTGCCTTCCTTCCCTCTTGTATTGCCCTAGGGGTCAGCGATGGAGTGCTTCAGTGTAGTCATGTGCTTTTTAAACTTGATCATATTTTAATTTCATCATATACTCTTGGAAAGCCATCTCAAGCCTCCCATTATTGAAATTGCATACAAAAGAACTAGCACTTTTGTTTATGTTAAAACTCAGTGGGAGAGTTTTAATTGTTTAAGCCAAATGTTATATAACAGTTTCACTGAACTGTGGTTGAAATGGAAGGCAAGCTTGCAATGAGCCCTGTGGAGTAACACGTCAAACAGGAAACAAACTTCATCAAAACGGACAGGACAATGTACATCTGATTGGAACACTATAGACTAGCTGGGGGAGATACTTAGAGGAGAGCTGCCTTATGCCTTTTTTTCCTCCTTCCTTCTCATGCAGACTTGGCATATGGGTCTGTGATCACAATGAAGAACCTTCGGATGGCAGGGGGATACCTTCACTCTCACTGGCACCTCTACCCAGAGGGCGTTGGGGCCCGCCAGCAGCAGGTCAGTGTGCTGTGATTGTATTGCCTGTGACTGCAACCATTGGCTCACTCCCTTTGCATTTAGCATTAGGGGCCAATGTGACAGGAGCTGTGTATTTATTTAGCATCTGTTACCCCCTCAGTGCCACAGCTGTGTGCTTGGCCTGGAAGTCTGACTAAAAAGGTTTGAAGACAACCTACCACATTGCACCAGAGTGGTGACTTACAGTAATAAGGCCTTGCTGTAATGCAAGACCACTGTCCATAAATGGAGGCCAAGAGGACTTCAGAATAGTCTTCCATATGAAAGTTACCTCAAGGAAGGCTGTAAAACTTATGTTTAAAACAAATACATTATGTTATAGGTTTTGTTGCTTTATATTAAAAGCAAGGGACTAGAACTGTTGTGTATTGTTTTTACTCCAGCCTCTGGTCTCTGTGACCTTACATGAATTCCTCTCTTTTGTGCCTTGCTTTCTGTATGTGTCGCCCAAGAATTTATAAGGCTTTGCTCATTAAATTAGATATCTGTACATTTGTAAGCTAATGTAGCCATAATGAAAGTATCTGAGCTGAGGGCTTCTCATTAAATAATTAAGCAATAAGTGAAAGTAGAAATCAGAAATCACGTAACTATCTCTAAATAAATAGTACAAAAATTAAGTAAATTTCTTATTTTTGTCCATCATCATCAAGCTTCACAAATCTTTGCAGCTTCTGCACCTTTCCCAAGATATATTTTACAATTGTTCTGAGCTCCTTGAAAGAAAGTTGCCAGAGAAACACAAGTGTTTGGTTTTTAACTCCCTTCTGTCTCTGTGGTGAGGAGGAAGTTTTCAGAAGTGACAGCTTTATCTCAATCTTCTTCTGCTGTTTGTCACAATGAAAATTTCTAATACTCTCATGTAACATTGATATTTATTACAGTAGATTGAGATGTCATACCAAAACTGGCTCAAGTATAGGCAAAATTCAAGTGCATAGCATGCCTTACGAAACTAAAAGCAGGGAAGGGGAATTTGAAGAGGACACTAATGGGAGTTCCTTGAGGAAAGTGGGAAAGGGTGGAGATTTCCCCCCTGTGCTCCCTACTGTGGTGGTCGGACAAGGGTAGGATTCTGGGAGAGTCTTGGGGCTCTGGAGAGGGGAACAGAATTTAGAACTTGGAGATTTAGGGAGGAAAAAGTGATCTCTTTGCCCCTACCTTTCCCCCATCTCCTGATGGCTTAACCTCAAGGTATGAGGTTCTACCTCCAGCTCTCCCTTTTTACCTCACCCTCACACACTCATCTGTGTTCTCTCACCCACCCACTGGGACATCTGCTCCCATCTGAGTGGGAGGCACAGGTCTGGGTCTGGGTCCCACGGAGCAGGGCTTGCTGCTGCTGGAAGAGGAGAATGAGCCAAAGGGACTCCGTTCCTCATGCTGTGGGAGCAAGCATCCTGGAATAAGATGGTCTCTCGTGTCCATGGTAGCAGTAGGCGCAGTTACTCTGTGTGAGGCTGAGCAGGCTGGCAAGGATCAGCTGTGTAGCATGTGCAGCTCTAACAGCTGATCCCTGAATCTTACCTTGCCTGGATCTTTTGGCAGAAGTATTATGGTTGTCACAGCCTATTGTCATGCATCCAGTGCTGCTTCCATCTTCTGGCTCTGGTCAGTGATTATTCAAGAGTTCAGGTTTGAATATCCTGTTGTTGTAGAAGGACCCATTGGAGTGAGAGGAGGTCAAACTGTATGGTTGGAGGCTGTTACTTATGATGCCTGTGAACCATAAGTGTAGTGCTTCTGAGCATATACACTGTACACTGTACAGTGTACACTGTACACTGGCTAAGAGGGGTGATCTGGGTTAAAGAGTGGCCCCAATTGACTTTCTAGGGGGCACAGTCATAAAAGTAATCCCAGCATTTCTGTGTTATTGGTCCATTCATTTGGGACTTCAGTTTGCTGGGGAATGTGTGTCTGCTATCACCAGCTTTTTTCTTGTTTCGTAAAATAATAATTGCTGTCCTTTCAGGTCACTGCCTACTTACATAAAGATTTGAATAACCTGTGGATTATAAAGAAACATGATTCAGATACAGGTAACAAATACCAGTGAAGTGCCTTTTATAACTACTGCTTCAGTTTTTCGCATAAATATTCTGAGTTCCCTCCAGGACAGAGTATCCTTCATGGAAGTGAGAGGGAGAGGAGGAAGAACAGGGGGAAGCTGGCTCCATCTTGATTTATGTTGCGTGTGTCTACTGTGTTTTTGGTTCTTCTCTAGATTGTACAGTTGAAATAAATAAACTTTTCTCAGCTTAAGGTTGCATTGACAATTTTTCAGCTGGGTAGGGCCACAAATAACAGCAGAGAGGAAATTAGTCTGAACTCAGTATTTTTTGCAATCTGTTATTGTGGCAGAGAGTCCTGTGGAAGTTGGGTCCTGGTAAATTCTGGTACACTGTATTTAACAGATTTTTGGGAATGATTGCTTGGGACGAGATAAGAGTACTGAACATGACAATCTATGGTTCGTACGTACATCTGTTTTAGAATATTACCTAGTGTAACTAAGGCATGTTTTCCCTGTCAGTTTCCTTTTTTTTACCCACCGCCTGTGTATCCACACAAAGTTGTTTGCTTGTATTGTCTGCTTCAGGCATGAGCATTAACAAGAAACTTTCTAAGACCCTGATGTGTTTGTCAGGACATTGATATAATTAGTTTGCCTTCCTTCAGCAGATCTGTCAGACCCCTTGAGCCCTGTGGAGTTTGTGAGGCACGGAGATATTATTCGTCTGGAACATAAAGAGTAAGGATGATTTCTGGGATTCAGAAATTACATGATTGAATAGAATTGGTGGGAGATTTGTCCTGCTGGAGACAATGTGGTTAGGCCAGCACGAGCAGGCTGTGTGACAGAGGTATCTGTATATCTGCATTTCCAGTGTGAGGTTTGTAGAGGTTTTTTTTCTATGGTTTATGTTTGAAAGTTGTCTTAAATAGGAAACTTTTAACGGAACAACACAACTTTATTAGAAATACCTGTGTAAGCAGCAGAGATATTTGTTCTGCTCTGTGAGGTGTGATACTCCGGGGTAACTCTTTTGCAGAGAAGCAGTTTTGAAACCCTCATTGGGTGTGGGCTTGTGCCCACTCTCTGAGTTTTCTGGGCAAATAAAGAGTGAGGTGGTTTTTTTTTGGTGTACTGCAAGTGTCCTGTTCCTACATGCATAGGCACTATCCACCCGCTGAAGTTCTGAACAGCATTGAAATCACAGCAGTGAAACACTGAATGAAAATGTCAGCTGGTGCCTTCCTTCTCTGCAAGGAATACCTAAGAGGAACCAAGTCACCCTAGTGACTTGATGTATGGTTTTTGTCTAGTCTAATATCACTGTGCCAAAATGCCTCATGCTTTCACAGCTTTGATTTCATAACAGGACCTCAAAACTTGTGAGCCAGGAAATCACCGTCATGTTGTATTCAGTATGGCATCTGCACAAATAATTGCTTAGGTTTCCGAAATTATTATAAGACCATTTTTTTAAATTCCTTGAATTTGGGGGTTTACTATCAAGCATACGATAATGAGTATGATAAAAATTGATTAGGCAAAATTGGTTAAGTCGTGGTGAGGTCTGCAGAGCAGGAGAGGAAGCAGCGGTGCTGCAGAAGAGATGCAGCAGGTGGCGCTCGCGTTTAGGACTGACTGGGATATGGCCAGGTTTCTCTGGTTGCCTCAGTCACCAGTCTGCCTGGGGGGGAGGCTGGCTACCTGCACCGTGCTAATGGTGGCCACTGATTCCCCCTAAATGGTACAGTCTTTCTCCTCAAAAGCAAAACTGATCACAGAAGGTCAGGATCTTGCTTTTCTTCTTACAAGAGCAAATCTGTTTGTCCCACCTTTACTGTTAAAAAAAAAAAAGTCCACAGCAAAACAAAAACCCAAGGTCTTCTCCACTTGGAGGTGATAGATTGTAGCTTGAGGGTTCTATTTATTCATGCTGTCATCCTTTTCCACACTGCCTAGTGTGGCATAAGCTCAGAGTTACATGGTGGGAAGTGACAGATGCGATCAGTGTCCCCCATCCTGTTTAGGCTGAATCCTGCCTGCCCTCAGCTGGAATTTGGTGGTTAGAGCAGTGGCTGATCTCTGAATGACTCAAACCAATGTTCTAATTACAAATTGACAAGGTTCAAAAGTTTTAATTTCGTTTCAGAACTTCTAGAAATCTGCACAGTCACCAGCATGAAGCTCCCTTGACGAGGAAGCATTTTCAGGTCACTGGCTATGGAATAGTAAGTGAAGGCAAGATAGAAGAAAAACTCCTTTTAGGGAGAGTTCGTATCATGCCAAGGGGATTTATTGTTGGTTTTTTTAGTTTGTTAGCCAAGGTGATAGATGGGCATCTACCATCCTGAAGGAAAAACTGATTTAGTGTGAAATGGCTTATCTCATATTTAAAGTCTATTTAATGTGAACACAGATAAAAACATAATTTAAACTTTTACTGCCAGTCTAGCTTTGGCAGCATTCAACTCCAGAAATGACAAACTGAGCAACCTTGAAGTTGCTCTGACAAGTATTATTTTATGTATTTGGCCTTGTCACATAGACAAGTGCCTTTTTGAAAGAATGATGACAGAATTTTGAATCATGAAAATGAAATCTGCTTTGCGGGTTGAATTTCTAAATGCAAGGATCTGTTGCCTAAACCCCTTTTATGAAGCAGCCAAGTTACCCCTGTTTATGCTGTAGTTCTGAACCACAGTCAAGCATGAATTGGAAGAAAAAAAATTAAAGTTGGCAAGATAAAGATGTATTTGTGAATGCTTGCTCATGTCTAGAATGATGTCCTCTGGATGGGGAATCTCTTCTGTGAAGTCTGAGTGAGAGTAGTCTGGGCTCATTTGTTTAACTTTGCCACCATTACAGTTTCTGAATTTGTTATTTGCAGTGCTTCAATTCTGTATGTTTTCTAGTTGGGGGGGGGGTTGTTTGGGGTTTTTTTTCTGGTTTTGTGATTTTTTTTTTTTCTGCAATGCTATGTTTGCATGATAGAATGGAACAGGAGACTCCAATGATTTCTGGCGGATTGAAGTGGTGGGCAGAAAGACTGGGAAGCTCATCAAAGTCCTACGGAGTCAGATCCGGTTAATCCATGTGGCCACAGGGTGTATATTGGGCTCTTCTGGAAAGACTCTGCCAAAATGGTAAATAGTTTGTAATTGCCCTCCACCCCAGCAAGGCCTTGAGCTGACATGGTCCTTTACTCAATGATACTTTTAAACTAAGCAATAACCACATTTCCTCCATTTTTTTAAAAGAATAAAAATGGAACTAGCAGGTACTAAAAATATAATCAGAGGGGAAGATCTGGGTTAGGGTTATGCATTCTGTTACAGTGAAGGTATCATCATGGCTGGGCTTCACAAATGAAGATTTGGGAAGGACTCTACCCACATTTGCTGCAAGCACAGTGGTGGCTAAAGAGGCCAATGCAAGACAGACAAGTCCAGTTGCAAAAGGCACAGCAGAAAGACTCCTTGGATGGTATCGGCAAGACACGGTTCTTTCTGCGTTGTCTTTTCTCCTCGAGAGTGACCCTGTGTGCTTTCTCAAAAGCATCAGCAGCG